TGCTCAACTTGCCACCTAACTCACTAGAAAGTACTTTTGTTTGTTTACGGCGAAGTGAGTTCATTTAGTCTGGATGGAGTTTAGACAGACCCGATCCAATGGGTGACATTTGACGGCCAAAACACCAATAATCTTGTGGGGTTTCCAATGGAGTGCGTTTGGTTAGATTCACTTGAAGTCAAAAAGGTATAGAACCACTTTTGTTGAAGATATGTATTACTTTGTGCCACCAACCACTGTTTATCACTATGATTATTACCAGTGGTTCCCTAGAGAGAAAAAGCCGGTTTCATAAAAATCATAACTTCTTACAACAGTTTGGTACAAGAGACGCGCCCAGCATCACCTAACTGGTTTCGAAGGTATATTTCTGGTCTTCACACAACCGAGACTGCACTGTACGGCATCAGGGTGTTGTTGCACGGTTGCTGGTGCCTCTCTCCAGTATATGGGCACACTATAAGACCCACTCATATCTGTTGACTGAACAGATTTTCATTACCACCGCCGTTAGATCAAACAGGAACTTGTGCATTCAGTGGGGAGTAGCTATCTCCGCATGCTGTCTAACTCACGGTTTTTTACTTCTTTTACCCTCAACCTAATTTATCCAGCCTATTACGCGGTTTGTTAAAGCGTAGCCACTTTGATGCCTCAACGTGTTGCAGTCACGACTTGTCTAGCTGTTGAGGCTCTGCTTAGGTTTCCCGCAGCAGTAACACCTCCGCATCGGGAGCCCACTATTTTCCTATCACAGTTTTTTGCTTTGGTTTACAACAGACATCCAACTCCAACAAACGGTTCTATGAATTTGATTGTATGTGGCAATGGCCACACCCTAGTGAGCAGTTGCCAGGTGGAATGAATCAAGTGGGAGCAATCATGAATGTGAAACAACTCCGAACGATTCGGAGATCGTATTCTGGATTACAACGGATTCACTTAAAGTTACGGCGGATTCACTTGAAGTTACAACGGATTCATTTGAAGTTTAAAAGGTATAAGAATCTCATTCACCGCCCTCACGAATGTTTTTTTTTCATTTCCACCTCCTGGCTCTGGTCATTTTTATTACCTGGGCATATTTCATTTTACTCGATCCCCCTACCACACTAATATTATTTGATGGTCGTACAACTGCATTGAACCATTTTCATTGCTATTAACATAAAGATTTCGTATTTCAAGAAATGACTACTCACAAGTAGTGACCGGATAAGTTCAAACCATCGAAACAAAGGTAATGGTTAAGTGCTACCACATCCCAACAATGTAACATTGTTATACCAACAGCGAGTCGGTCACCACCATACTTTGCTACACTCAATCGTCTATTTTAGTCCACAATTAATGAAGAATTCTCACTTCGCAAATTCCATACTCAACCGGACGATAAATTGTTCCTGGGGCGCTTCAAAGGGTTGAAAGTATATAAATCCGTGAAACGGTCATGAATCTGACATTCTTCGTTTCCTTGCTTTATAATTTCATTACACTCATACTATTTAATCGTTCCATTCATGATAAAACATCCTACCGAGCGATATTCTGACAATTCCACTGTCATATGCGCAGTTATATTCCTGACTTGACTTAAAACCTGTTTCTCAGAGGCATCATAGAAATCAAAATCTGTCTCCCTGTTAATATATTTCCAAGTCACAAACTATTAGTTTCTTGCATGTTACGTCTTTTCATTTGTTTAAGGAATATATTTGCAGTATGACGTTTATTCAACGTTTACTTTGTTCGCTGCGTGTAGTACAAGTCATGTGACGAATCCGATCTTTCTGTCTTGTATTTGGTAACTATTTACTCACAAGGTCATTTATTAGGTCGAGTTCGTCTAACTAAATTATACTGAACTAATATATCAAACACTTTCTCCTCCTACTGAAACACAACTTATTGGTGAATAAATAAAAATTAGGTATTTAATTGTGATGGTCTGTTTTTTTTGTTCATTTTCAGGGCTCCTACATGCACAGTTACAATGAGCTGATCTCTGAACTACTGGCCCAGGACACCTCGTGGCTCGGGATGGGTCTAACTCTACTATTGTTTCTCCTGTTTCTTGGCACTTGCAACTTGTGGCTACCTATGCTAACGTTGATCGGTATCGGGTGGTCTTTGCTAATCGCCTATGCAATATACACGCAACTGTTCAATATTCCGCAGTTTCCTCTGATCAATCTCATGGCCATTGTGTTGGCTATTGGTTTGGGTGCGGACGATTTGCTTGTCTACTTTCAGGTACGTTTGTCTGTTTGTCTGTTTTTATCCTCGGTGATTGCGGTCATGTTGTTGTTCCCTTAGCAATGAGATTTACACATTTCCAATCGTTTGGGACTAATGGATAACCATCCTTTCGATAGAGCAAACTGTGAGGCATATATCCGAGGATTGTGTTTCGTTTGTTCCCCTCCCTTAAAACAAGTTCAGTTGAACATTTTTGGTGGAAGATAAAACGAAATCCAACCGTATATGGATTGATTTGAACTGACCATCCTTCGGACTTCACCTTCACGCACAATCCTCAGTTCATCGATTCACTACTGATGAGCTCTACTAAGAGCGAAACTCAAGTCTAGTGCTTCCGATTGTATGATTGAATCGATGAACTAAGGATTGTGCGTGAGGGTAAAGTCCGAAGGATAGTCAATTCAAATCAGTCAATATCAATTATCCGATACCACTACTCACAAGTAACTGTCAGTTAAACGTGACCAACTGTATATCTTTTTTAGCTATTATCACAGCGATTGATTCCTTGATGCAGTATCCAGATTATTCTACCAAACCGTCATTGACCAGCGCGTTGAATTTCTCTCGATTATTGTAAAAAGTGTAAACCAGTGACTTAGAACAAATCCAAAAAGGCACTCAGGCCGACCAGATACAACCCCAACCAATCGAATGAGTGACAAAGATCGCTTACGTTAACTCTGTGCAAAACAGATTTTTCTTATCAAACACCATCTTCTAGCACAAGAAGCGATATCGCTCCTTATTGGAGAGCCCACCACTTTGGACACAAATCAATGACACCTCTAAGCGCTATCAATGTCACGGATCTATTCTGTTACTGCTCAACACCCGTGAATACGTATTATGCTCGGTTACGTTTGGCAAACAACCGCACCAAAGCCACCGCAAACGGGTACACGTAGTACCTTTTAACCGACATCTGAAAGTCATTCTTCCAAGCAGAGCTCTCTCATCAGCTCCTATTTCAACTACCCATCGAAGGATTCAGTGAACATTGGAAGCTGTTCAATCATCTCACAACAACAATAAACACAAACAACAATCAAAACAGAAATGATAAATTTCCTCAGTTTCTGCTGCCCTGCTGGACGACACTCGCAGAGCCAAATGCCTACACGCGGATCCCTGAAACATCAGCTCATCATGAGTCTAATAAATGACTTCAAGAAGCGCTGGGTAGGGAGATGTAAAAAATTAGAGAGGGTTACGGCTTTTGATGCCAATTTCATTCCATAATTTATAGGTATAAGTGAGATAATTGAAGAGTCCGACGGCGCACGGTTTCACACTCCACAACACCGTCTAGAACTACGGGTAAGACATTGTAAGGTCCAGTTTTAATAACTAACTTCTACCTCAAGTGTACAGCTTCTCCCAGCTGATACCATTCCTCTGTGAAATGAAGGGTATTCGGGGAGTAGGTTATCTCAAACGATGTAAAGCCTCCCGCCCCATCGACTTTTAATCGTGCGGGTTTAGCTTTAATGTTGAAGTTGAAAAAGACTCCTGAGTTCAGTATGGGAAATTGAATAAGTTCTGAATGAATTGTGTGAAACGATCACTTTACCGGTTTATAAGAAAGACATCAGATCCTCTTGTGTAAAAAACTATAGGGGGAATCGTGTGGTCAACATTGTCCCCAGGGTGCTCAATTGCATTATGCTCCGTCTATTGTCCGCCGCACAAAAGCGATACCTGTGTGATAACTAGGCTGGCTTTAGACCACATCCAGCTTGTATCGATCAAATCACAAATCTTGGAACACAGAAATTCCATCCATAAACCTACCATTTCTATCTACCTTGATCTATGTGCTACCCTCGATCGCACAAAGCTCTGGGGCTGCCTCTCCTCGGAGGGTGTGCTAGAGAAGTTGATTTCGTGATTACAATCTCCTTATACCAAAATCCGAGGTTGAGTTCGGAGTTTTGGGCCGCGTTTTTATTATGGTATTTCAAACAGATTGGTACTTGAAAGTTAAATCCCAGTCGCGTTTGCGAATGCCTTAACCTCGGTCAGTAACCATACCGTAACAATAGTTATTGTTGGACGATCACTGTAAACTTCATATTAGAGGAACAACTGAAGAGCATTGGATAAGTTTTCAGTTTTTTACAACCATTAACCATGCACTTTAGTGCGTCACTTTTTGTTGCTGTCTCATGACTGTCCATTTGGATAAAAGAGCCGAAGGAATAGTGGAATGCTGGGAACAGAGTCAAAGAGAAAATAGATAATTAATAAAGACTAAGGTGTCAAGAATAATGAGTAGATGCAAGAGCACCACTGTTTGTGATACTCAGCCATATCACTCAGTGTCTCTCACCATCGGTTACGTCGATCCCAATGTCCTCATCCAGGGGGATGAACGAAACCCATATGACCGAGTCTCCTGGTTAGGATTTCCATATCTTTATGCTAGGTCTTAACTTGACCGCCTTTGATCTTTTGCCACCCACTGCCTCCAAGAACATCGCACGCCATGACAATCTATTTGGTAACATGCGCAAGACATACCCTAATCAACGTAGTCTATGGAGGCTAACCATCCGCCCCAAACAAACTGCATATTAGTCAGGATTCTGTAAACATCCCATGTACCGATTTCCCTCCCCCTCCCCGTGCGCGAGAGGGGGAAGAGGCAGCTAAATATTTGTTTGACTAACCATATTTTGTTCTGTTTCAGATTTGGACTTTCTCCAAGCATGCAGTTCCAATATTAAATTCTGACTCCCCTGACCCGGCTAGTATCAACACCATTTGTCAATGTTCGTGTGTTTGGAAACAGCAGAAACGTGAAGCGCAGTCACAATCATCCGATTCGGATGACCTCGTCTTACCAGGAAGGCCATCCGTGTCTGTCAGCCACCCGTCTGCTCCTTCTGAGCCGGGTCCAGTGAATCGACTTCGTTTTACCCTATCCCATGCATTGCCCTCCATGACTTTGACTACCGTTTCCACCATCCTAGGTCTGTTGGTCAATCTATTCTCATCCATTGTTGCTGTCAAGCGGTTTGCTTTGTTCTCCACTCTGGTCGTTGCATCAAATCTCTTATTCGTACTCATTACTGCGCCTTTGTTTTTTCTTCTCTGTGATTCGTGCTGTGCGAATCCGGACGTGTACTGTTGTATTTCCCCGTTTCATACAAGTTCATCTTCTCGACCCGGTTGGGCTTTGATTTCCGCATGGTTTGCAACCATCGTTCAACGTGGTCGTTGGATCATTTCAATCACTTTTCTAATTGCCCTGACCATCACGTGCTACCTGCTGTTTGGTGCACGACGATTTGATCTACCTCAAACAGGCAGCCAATCCGCATCATTCCTCCGCCCACATCATCCGTTTGAAATGTTCATCAATCAACAGAGCAACTGGTTCTGGACCGAACGAGAGCTACATCATTGGGAAAATCTGATTCAGTTTCATATTGTATGGGGTCTTGTGCCGGGAGATACACGGTCGTTTTGGACTTATAGTGATGCAGATCAATACACTACCGCTTCATGGATTCCTGATTCTCAGTTGAACCTGACCTCATTGGCATCGCGTCAATGGCTACAATGGTTTTGTGACACGCAATTAAAACAAATGCCCCACCTTCTCCACGCCAAGTGGTTCGAGCATCGACCAGACTCGTTGTCCTGGTTCGATCCGGCTCTGTTGAACCGACAGATTCAATTGCCGATTTGGTGCCCAGTTGGACATTATCCGAACTCACTAGACAATTATGTGTTTGCTCGAGCTTGCTCACTGCCTAAAACTCACTGTTGCGTGAATAATACCGGACTGGATACACAGAATGCCCCAGTAGACCGGTACTTGAACTGTTTAACGGAGTGGTTAGCGTACGAAGCTCATCAACTACCACAGGAAGCTCTGAGCTCCGGATTCCGGTTTTCCATGTCTCCCAACGGGATCATCAATGAACCCGTCGGATTAGTGTTAACTGTGATTACAAACTTANATGCCTCATTCGGAACTAAGCAAAAGTTTGGATACGCTAACTGGATGGTTTCGTCAATCCCTAACCGCTTTTCCCTGCACCATCTCGCAACCCCGACTAGTTTTTCCGAGTCTAATGAATTTTGAGGTCATCACAAATGTGGCGGAGTACTTACCGTGGAGCATCCTTAGTGCTATACTAATGGCCAGTATCCTCATGCTAATAACCTGTCGCAATTTGGTACTCTCCCTGGTCTCACTTCTCTGTCTAATCGGTTGTTTAATGATAGCCGTCCTGCTTTTGGCCTTGTTAGACAACTGGACATTGGGTGTTGTGGAAGGATTGGTTTTGAGTTTGGCTTCCGGCCTAGCTATCGATCCGTGTTTGCATTTAGCCCAAACTGTGTCCCGGTTGCACAAAGCACGTGGCTGTTGCGAACCCGCTGGTTTCGGCCCGGTTCTCCATCGGGCCTTGACAATGCTCAATCCGGCTGTGACCGGGTCGACATGGAGCACGGCACTCGCAGGGCTGTGTATGTTATCTTGCCAATTGTTGTGCTATCACCAAATTGGAGTATTTCTGGCCACACTAATGACCTGTTCGTGGTTAATCTGTTATGTGACATTTGCTAGCAATTTCGCTTGTTTAGACGACTTGCTTCGTTGGTGGACTCGTCGCTAGCCCCACGCATTAGATAAATTCTGGTCAGTCTCTCTCTTGTCCTGTCTACATCACTTTAATTTCCGTGTGGCTTCTCTCCATACTTTGATCTGACTTGATCGTGTACGGCTGGTGAGAGTTTGACACGATGTCCTCCGCATTTATCCTTTTGATTTCGTACTCTACCCCGCCCCCACCTCCTTTATCCATACCACTTGTTATTTTTTCTTGAACTGGACCGGTATCACCTCCGTGCCTTATTCTCTAGTTTTTATTTCGCGTCATTATTTTTATCTTTCCACACTTTTCTCATCCTTTTTGATACACATTTATCCCGCAGCCCCAAAATCAACGTGCCATCGATACTAACTATGCCAATCCCGGTTACATTGTTCAGAAACGGTTTCATTTGATGCTCTTTTACTCATGACCGAATGGCAATCTCGACCAACAGCACCAAAAATACAGTATCAATCAATACTATTCTCCGGTTCCGTTTGGTTCACTTAAATTCCATAAAAACAATCGACCAGAGTCACACGTAATACCAAGACTATTGTGCTGTGCTCGATGAGACTTTTGTCGACCTAGAACTGATCAGTTCATTTGTCGTAAAGTGCCAGTTAGGTGTTTAATTTTTCGACTGCTTGACCCGACTGATCAAGGTAGAAACAAAAAACAAGCCTATCTATGATACGAATTCGCTATATGCCAAGTTGTTTAGTTCAGCTGACCCGTTATTATGTACTATTGCATATTAACTAACGTTAATAACCGTCAAATTTTATTATGATATTTCCACGCATCTGAGTCCAGGTTGGGTTCCAAATAAATTACATTACGATAATGTTTATGATACAGAAATGAATCCGTGATTCCTTCGTGGGGCGAATGCTGCCCGGACAAAAACAGATGAACTCTATTGGGAAATTCAGAACCGGCGCTTTCGGCTACCCAGAGCCAGATCCGTAAGCAGCAGGGGGTTGTTTAATAGCTGCAATCCATTGTATGCTGGTGTCCAAGAAATTTATGAATTGTCACAGCTAGGGAGTTCAACCACTAAGGTGAAATCCAGAACTATTCGTTGCTGAGATGATGTACAGTGCGTGGTATAAATGATAGAACGACGTTATGATAGTCTCATTCAAAAGCTAACTACCTGCGAGTGGTCAGTACAGATGCCATCTCTAGTTGTTACGCATAGGTAGGTCTTATGCGTGAATCTTTTTTCTCACCCAGGAGCACATTTGCTGTGAAAAGGGTAAGATAATGGA